TGGGTGCTGATAACTGGGTGCCCGCAATTTCAGCTTCATGGCTCTAGTTTATAGTCTATAAAAATGTAATTTTTAGTTTAAAAAATAAATCCTTAGATCAAGACCTAATTTATTATGTCTTGAATAATAATTAACGCCCTTCATTTATGTCCATAACTACCATTTCTGATTACTGATTTTCCAGTTTTGTCATTTATTAATTTAAAATCATCTTAAAAAATTTTGAACTTTCCTGCTTGTAGATTTTAATTTTTCTCTCTCTTGTACTTATTAGAGGCACGTGTCGCTCTTCTAATATTACAGATGTATCGTCTGTCGTCATCTGAACTCCTGGTATTCGTGCTGGGGTGCTCCCGTTTGTGTTAGCCGTTCCTCTCTTATAAAATAATCGAACTCTTCTAATTTTATTAAACTACTAATTAGACTACTTGTTTAAACTAAGCTCTAAAATACTTGAAGTATTTTTATCCTTTACAATTTTAAACTTTTAATTTACGATGATAATTTTCAGCGCAGGAATAAACATGTTGGTGTTTTATTAAGCGCATTTTGTAATAGGTTATTATTGATTATAATCGATAATTCATTCATTCAAATAAAAATAGCAATTAAATTATTTTTAAAAAGTGAAAAAGCTTAAGAATTGGAATTTTACAAAATACAAGAAATTGAGGAAATGATGAAGTTTTTGATTTTTTTCCCTACTATATTTCCGAGTTAAAACCAATTTTTGATTTTGAATTAAAAATGTGTCTTTTGATAAGGTTATATAAAATTATAAAAATAGGGGATGATTTTCTGAAAATAAATAAGATCAATTTTCTCAAAAACATCACATTTTTTTGTTATCAAATTTTTACTACAAATTCTTAAAATAATTATGAACATTTCCTATGAATTTTAAGCGGGCTAAACCATTCTGTCAATCAAGAGAATTTTTTTTTAAATATTTATTTTTGCAAATTTTTAAATTGTTAACTTGCATTTTAAAAAACAAATAAATCGTTATAACATTGTTGACGTGAACGTTAACAATTTGAAAATTTGTAAGAATAAATTTAAAAAAAAATTCTCCTGATTGCCAGAATGGTTTAGACCGCTTGAAATTCATAGGAAGTGTTCATAATTATTTTAAGAATTTGTAGTAAAAATTTGATAACAAAAAAGGTGGTGTTTTTGAGAAAATTGATCTTATTTATTTTCAGAAAATCATCCCCTATTTTTATCATTTTAAATATTTTTTCAAATTTCAAACTGGATTGTGAAGAGGATAAGACCATCTACAAGACCCAAGAAAGAAAATTAAATTATACTCAAAAGAAAAAAAAGACAAGCAAAACAATTTCTTTTCTATAACATGAAGTTAGTCGACATGCCTGATTTGAAATGGATTCAGTCTACTGTGTGATTCTTGGATAGTTTATGAATTGAAATTATTGTTATGGTCCAATTGGATGCATAAAATAAGAAACTTTCTATAAAATACCGAATAAAAATTAATTATTAAGTAGATTTAGCAAAATAATCAGAAAAATCAATAAAAATGAAATTGACCTTTTTAAAACTTGTGTAATAAATTTTTCGCGATAATATGAAAATTTCTCTACACGGAGAAAAATAAATAGTAATAATTATACTATTTTCGATGAAAAATTACTACTTTTAAGTAGTAATTTTGAAACTGCTCGAAAAATAGTAACTTTTGCTTCGTATTCAAACGATTTTTACTTTTTTGAAAAAGTATAATTTACTTCAAGGAATCTAAATTTTATTAAAAGCCGAGTAATATTTAAAATGTCCCGAGCAATTAATACTCTGAGCGAAGCAACTTTTATTACGAATCAGAGCAATTATTACTATTTCGGTAAAGATTTTTACTCGTAAAAGTAGTAATCCGTACCCACACAATGACGCGCCTCACACCGACGGGCGAAACGAATGCCGGCGCGCCTGCGCGTCTGTCCACGCCGTGACGAAAAAAAATGCTGGTGTAGAGAGCTATATTGTCTCGTTTTATTTTAATAAATTAAAATAAAATAATCAGTGCGTTCAAAAAATATTTTTTCAAGTAATTAACACTCTGCATGTGTATTATTATTCATTATTCATAAGTTTTACTTTTTTTTCACATTCTTACTTACAATTAACAACTTAACATATCGGAAAATCTTAACATCTATACAGTTTCGAACCCTACCTAACTTATATCTAACGCAACCTAAAATCGCACGCATTTATACTAAGCCTCTCGGCTACGCAATCGCTATGGAGAAAATTTCATGTTACCCGCATATATCTCTTTTCGATAAAGTGAATCATAAATTATATTTATTTAGATAAGTTACTGCATTAAAATATAAACATTTATAATAATAATAATAATAAACAGTATTATTAATTTAAAATTACTTATTTTAATTATTAAATTATTAGATTATAATGTTAATGATTTTATATATTTTTTATTAATTAATTAGTAATTCATTAAAAATTAATTAACTAATTTTAAAGTGATTATACATGAATTGCATACTTTGGAAATTGATAAATAATTAAAATGCATATAGCAATTAATGATCGCACCACTGATATAAACAAAATTGTCCAAAGAACTGAACCGTGCTACACGTGCTTCTTGTAACCTAGAAATGTTGGATCACTTTGACGTCAGGTTACGGTCGCTGCGCATGACAGTAGTGACGTGATCACACACATAGGTGTGTAACAGTAGTGGTACGGATTACTACTTTTACGAGTAAAAAGTTTGTTCTGCAATAGTAAAAGTTGCTTCTTGCAGAAGCAATCTTTATTTTCCGCAGTATTAATTATTAGAATTTCTACAAGTAATATTCTCAACATATCGAATGTAAAAAGTAATACAAAATTTAATAAAATTTACAATGACGATGTAAAAATTAAAATTCTTAAAGCAATTTTTAAACGTGACTACTGTAATAATTACTATTAGTAATTTTTACTACCAGAAATAGCCCTCACAGCATCGGGATATTCAGGATATTCCAGAGACGTCCTGGGGATATCGATTTGTTTTCGGAAGTTTGGATATCCCTGGAATATCCTCTGGATATCCATGGACGTCCCTAGGATATCCCAGAGATATTCAAACTTCCGAAAACAAATCGATATCCCCAGGACGTCTCTGGGATATCTTGAATATCCCGGTGCTGTGAGGGAGTAATTTTTACTTCATGCGAAGTACATTTTACTATGAATAGTAATTTTTAATATAAAAGTAGAATTATTACTATTCCATAGGAACTTTTACTTGAAACTCAGCACCATTTTTCTCCGTGTATCTAAATGAATCATAATAGAAGCAAAATCAGCATTGTTGGTTAATCAAAGAGTATTATAAACGAAATAAAAATTATTTTCTAAAAAGTGCAAAAATCCCATGTTAATTAAATGGGAAAAGTATTGTTATTTAGGCAGGGTTAAACGGCATCGTAAAAATTTGTTCTAGTTTCTAGAATTGTTTTTAGGTCAGAAAGAAACGATTTTGACGATACCCAAATGAAAATAGCTAACTTGGGAAATAACGGACACCCTAGTATGTATGGGGGAGAGTGGGGAAAACCGGCAATACCATTATGATCAGGGAAACAATATTAAAGGGTCTAGTTCTCATTGGAAGATGATTATTTTTCATTGAAAGTAAATATTTTAATGAAAAAAACATTCTAATTAATAATAATTTTCGTGAAACTCTGATACAATGACATCTATCATCATCTCTGATACATCCTATGGCCGGTTTGACCCACCGAAAACTGTCCGGTTTCCCCCACAGGCTCATTTTGAGAATTGATATTTGTTAAAAAAACGCTTTGCAGATTCATCAAAGTTTTTGGTGGTAAATATTCCTGAGGTGTGTACCTTCAAAACCTAAGGCCTAATATTTGGAAATATTACACGATTTCTTCAGAATTCCCTTAAGAAAAATTTCGTAAAAGTACTAAAAAAACTAAAAAAAAAACTTTTGCTCCTAGCGTTGCACAAACAAAAGCAAAAAATGTCAAATTGAAAAAATAAGGTATACTACACATGGTTGTTTCAAATTTCTAAACAATACTTTTGACAATTTCGCCATTTCGGAGATATTGACACCTGGCCGGTTTGCCCCACTCTCCCCTATATTTTATAGGTATATTTTTATATTTTTTTATATTTATATTTTTTAATTATACATCACTTTCAGATCAAAGAAAAGAATTGACATCAAGTTTTTGTAATCAAAATGCCATGAATTTTAGTTAATTTGAACGTTATATCGAATCTTAACTGCAAAACTTTGCGATACCTTCAAATTAAATTTTTTCTCACAATTTTTGGTATTTTTGTATTATTATTTATTGTAATTGTAAATTGTTTATTATCCTAACCTTACCATGTAATTATACTACTTCCTTCGTTTTGGAATAAAAATCTTGATTACAATCTTGAAAATTGTAGTGCAAAGAGAAAAATAAAAAAAATCCACTTGCAGCGACGTGTGAGATATAAACAGAAATCATGTTAAGTTAGACGTTGCTATTGAAATACTGAGAAAAATCTACAGGCACGAACAGAAACGCGACTAACATTGATAACTTGATTGAAGCATTGTGACGACGTAGCTTTCAACGATGTTCTTTGTAACCTAAAAGGTGTTATTTATATAGATCAATACAGACTGAAGGCAATATATAGAATCTAAAGGCAATATCAAATCTCTTATTTTGTTTTTGTTTTATTGGTTGTCACCTTGTCACATAAAGCCAATTTGCATAATATTTTATTAAAGTATATGTCAGAAAGTCAATATTTAAAAACATTTGAAAATTGAGATGTTTCAAGATGTTCAATTTTACACAATAATCACTACTCGTGTTCAAATTGATTTTATTTGAATATTTGACTTCTATACAAAAGCTATTGAGAATTTAAATCTTTTTTATTTTTTAAAATTCTTTTTATTAATTCACCCCATTTTTTCGTAGGTGGTAAATACGAACTTTCGCTAGAGGAAAGTGAATACAGAGTTCAAATGAAATTAACGATACGTACAATAACTGCATCCGATTATGGAACGTATAAATGCATCTCGAGAAATTCACTGGGTGATACTGACGGTAGCATCAAACTCTATCGTAAGTAATAAAAGTTTATATTTAAAAAAAGAAAATATTCTAGACGTCAAAATGTCAAATGAGATTTTTCACTGTAACATATTTTCACCATTGTACACAGCACAACATTTGAGAAAACTTTTTATTCAAAACTTCTTTTTCATAGTCGAAACTTATAAATCTAATTTTTTTTAAAAATGCTCTATATTTCTCTGAAATGGTGTTTCGATAGAAAATTTAATATTTTTTTTAAAATTTTTATTTTAAAAATAAAAATTAAAGAAATAAAACTAGGCGAAATTCTATTGTAATAAATAAATTACAAATCGTTTATATTAATACATGGATATATAGTGTTACTTGTTTTAGGGATTCCATCCAGTTCTGGCTTTGACGCGGAAATTGATACTAATTACAAAGGTATGGTATTTGCGATTACAAGGATAATAGGAATAATAAATCACAAATTTTTGCTGATACCAAAATAGAGAAATGTAGAGCATAATTTACCATACATGCAAATATTAAAAGCTTCTTGTTTTTTAATTTTCAAAAAAACAAAATTATTCACAATGAGGGAAAACTCTTTAAATACATCGACTCAAAATTGCATTTTCCAAATATGTGTTTAATTCTGTAACACAAATTTTCATAATTCAAAGAATAATACAAAACGATTATTAAAACCACTGTTACCTCGACATTTTCCTTTTCTGTCTCACTTAACTATAGAACAGCTTTTTCAGATTGTAATTATGATGTAGTGAGCGAGATAATAATTTAACAGAGTCCTTTATAATCCACAATCCACTGATGAGCTCTCATAGAAGCACATATCAAAGATTCAGCGAGCTGTTTAGTGAAAGAATTGTCTAAAAGGAGAAAAAGAGAGAGAATGAGTGAAAAAAAATCCCGTTGCTTGAATAAAGTACCCAGTTGAACCGACAGATTAGCTCAGTCGGATAGATGCCTGGCGTTGGCGGTCGTTTAAGGACCAAGGGTATAAGTATCTTTGGTTCGCGCCCACTTGGCTTGGTATTTTTCCGGCACGTGAGACAATCTGAGCGGGAGGTTTGACGTCGAGGTATAATTATGTGCACCGTCGATTATTGTCCGGTACACACCATTAGAACTCGACTGTCGATAAACCGGTTGTACTCAGGAGAGAGGTTTTCTACAGTTTTCCCTCTTCTCTGGCGAGAAAAGCCATTGACGGGTGGTCCAGGCGCAATGCGAGTACTCCTAATAAAAGTCGGCTGTAGACGCAAATTTAGGTTAATACTTAATATATAGAAAATTTATGTAGAATGGCTATGCTTAATCCAAAAAAAGTATTTCTCGGGGACTCTTGTCGAAGTGCGTAAGGCCAATACGGCAGGAGTATAAACAAAAAAAAACAAAAAAAAGTACTTAGTTGAGCTTTTAGTTATACACGAAACTTTTGCCCATGTGGAATTTCAATTTTGAAATTTATTTTTTTATAGGTTGTACATATAAATTCTGAAAGGAAACAAATTTTAAAAAAAGTTGAAAAAAATTAATAAAAAATATTTTTTAATCCAAGTTTGACTGACGCTACTGCAAATTTAATTACAATTTAATTCAAAAAGAGAGTCATGAGTTGCTCGCCGTTAGCTAAATTCATTGTCAAATTAATAAGAACTGCGAATTTTAATAAATAAAATTTTTTTCCAGTATTATTTTTCCATAAAGTGATTATAAAGTAATATGAAATACTTCAGAATGAAATTCTTTTATTTACTAATCTTTATTTGTTTGAGTATAAACTTGGTTTTAAATTAAATTTTTAATGTCCGAATAAGAATTCAGAATTATGAAACCAAGAATTTAAATTGAATCACAGACGTTAGAAATGTATGAATATTTAAATAGATGTGTCAATAATCTCAGTTTCCGGTAATTATACTTAATATCTTCTTTCATACGTTAGTAGCAATTCGTTATAAATCCATATAATATGAGATTCTTATGACATTTTGACATTTCTTCCATATTTACGAAATGATATCCTATCGTTTTAGTAAATTTATACTCTGAGTGCATAAGAGGATTTTTTTATTAAAGATAATTGACATAATGTCAATTTCAATCTATTATATTATTTTCAGTATCAATTAAAAAGTTTACTAATTAGCTAGAAGTATGGACAGAAATTAGTTTTTTTTAGAAATATGGAATTGAAACGAAAGATCACAAACTCGAGAGTTAGAGAGATTTTTTTTCTTAAAAAAATTCTCTCATACTGACTTTGAATATTTTCTATCCTGCGCAATACAATCTTTTTGTAAAGCAAACCTTTGCGTTACTTTTCATAGGTTTTTTAACACTAGCTCCTCGCCCGCCGCACAGCTGCCCGATATGTAATCTACTTTTCCAAAACCTCTTTGAAAAGCGTACGGCATTGTTACGACAAAGCAGACTTAGGAGAACTGATGTGTGCTTAAAATAACTTCCAACTCATTTGCTTTTTGGAACGTAATAGAAGAATAAAAATTTTAATAGTAATTTAAAAACAAATATTATTATTTAATTTTTTAATCGAAATTTTGACAAAATTCAATAATACTGTTTAATAATAAAATTTCTGGTGATAAATTCTCGCGCTAAGAGTGTGGGGAGAAGGGTACACACCAATTACGACGATACTCCCCACTCTTTACATGCGGCGCGCGCAATTCCGCAAAAATTAAGGTTAGGGTGTAAATGACAAATTTTTTACGCTACGCACAGTATTTAAAAATTAAAAAAAATAATGTGATGCGCTCCCAAGAAAGGTATCTAAGAAGCAAACGAATTATAGGTTATGTACGTGTTAGATTTAACCTTAATTGAAAGTTTTTTTTTATTTATTTGAACTTGAAACCAATTTTTATTAAATATTTTGGATGCTAATGACTTGATGATCAGTAATTTTTAATAATAATTGATTCTCTTTCTTTATTTTTTCTCAAAAAATTAAAAAAATTATCTTAAGTTTTTGCTTCTTAGATACCTTTCTTCGGAGCGCGACACCAATATTGACTAATTTTATACTAAAAATTCACCTTTTATATACTTTAAAAAAAAATTCAACATGAATTTAAAAAACGAACATTTAAAATAAAAATTTTAAATAAAGTAAATAAATAAAGAGAACGAAGAAAGTGTGTTAAAATTAAACAATTCTGATAAATTATGACCTGAATTTTGTAATTCTATTTTTCTCCAACATTTATATTGATAACAGTTGATTAAAAGACATATATATTTTAGGTAACGAATTAAAAAATTTAAGTGTCACATAAAAGTAATATTAATTTTTAATATTCATAAAAATCTCTCTTTAAATTGCAAATCTATAATAAAAATATTCACACTCATTCTTTTTTGTTGTTTCCCAGTATTCTGCACTTTTGTCTTAAAAAGAAATATATCTCGATGTGTGAAAAAGTTATACATATATGTATTTATTCTTTGATTAGAAAGATAAAAATTTTAATTATATTTCAAGGTATTTATTTAAATAAAAAAATCGATGTAATGAGATTGCGATAAGGTAGTCTAATAACTAATATGTTAATAGTATATTACATTATAAGGGCAGAAAGTTCGAATTCCGGCACTGTGCGAAATGATGCCCGAGGCGAAGCCGAGGGCATCATCGAACTGTGAAGGGTTCCGAAATTTCTGCCCGTGTAATGTATACTATTTTTCTTTATATACGGTCGAAAGTACGCCCGTTAATTTATTTTTTAAGAAAATTGCAATCGTGAATTCGTGATTAATTTGACAGCCTGCCATCTTTATTTACTTTCGCTCCCCGCTTCAACGCCTCTAGCGGACGCTCGTGAAGCTTTGGTTTTTTCTCTGTCTCTCTCTTACATTCAACGCCTGTCCCGACATTTGAAGCACGAGCGAAGCGAGTGCTTCTGGTCGGGGGCAGGCACGAAAAAAAATGTGAAAGATAAATTTATTAATTTATTTATAATAATACACGGGCAACAAAATAAATTAATATTATATTCTCAAATCTTCTCAAATCTTCTTGTTAATTTTTATTCTCATTTTATATATTAAAATAAAAAAAATTCGTTAAATTTTCTGGAACTCACAATTTTCTTATTTACCGACATTGATATTTTTACCGACAAAGAATTCTTTTACTCCCGCTGTAATAGAGGGCGTGTGTGTATATCAACCAAAGCGTAAATGTTTGACTTTCTGCAGCGAAGTCTAAGCGCGAAGTACGTACTTTCGACCGAGGTATAAAGAAAAATAAATTGGCAATATTTTTTTTCATCGGTCTATTTTTCTCCCACGTGCTTTAAAGGCTCATCTTTGCTTACGCAGGGAAAGTACAATGGTTTCTTGTATTTTCTTTTTTTTTTTAATGGATTATCAATATACTAACGTTGCATGTTGAATATTTTTTAATGCGAAATAGGAAAATAAATATCACTTGTCAGCAATAAGAGGGCAATAAATAATGTATAAAACTAATAAAAAGTGTAAACATTAAAAAAATACTGAAAAGCTTAAACCTTTTTTTTATTTTGCTTTTGTTATAATAGTATAACTGTAAATTTTTATTATCCTAATAAAAAAGACGTTTTTCTAGTGACCCTGCATGAATATAAAGTTTTCAGCTGACTATTAATGTTTTTTCTACTGGTTTTTTTATTCAAAAATTTTTTTTCTGTTTTTTGCATCACTGAACAAGATAATTAAGACTTTTTTCTCGTAAGAAAAAAAAATTATGTTTATTTCCTTTTATTTGACTGCACTTTATAATAATCTAACTTGTGTTACCCTCACTCCTTAGCGTATCCCTACTACTCTTCAATCTTGTATGTAACCCAGCGCTCGCTAGTAGGCAAAGCTTTCAGTCCGCTTTTACCAGCTTTTACCTACGTCAGCTACAAAGAAAAAAATGTTTGCCTGTTTTCTTCTTATAAAAATTTTTTTATTTGTAGCACTATTTTATAATAAAGAATTAAAAAAATTTTTATTTCTCACTCAAAAATTTCCGAAAGTATCCCCTTTTAATAAATTAAATCTTATTACTTACAGGTTAACGTATTTTTTATTTCTTTTTATTATTTAGGTATTCTTCTCTTTATTTTTTCGTCTTTTTTTGTTTTTATTTCATTAGTTTCTTACGTTAATTGTTGTAAATAATATTGAAAAATAAGTTTCTATAAGGCTAGTGGGAATATTTTTTTCTTTTCTCTTCAAACGAAAAATAAAAAATGTCTACTCTCATTCGAGTTTGTTTTTCTGCAATTTTTATTCAGAAAACATTTATATATCATTTGGTATGCATTCTATAATTTAAATTTTTCTTTTCGTTTTGCAGGAAAGTCTAGAAAAAATTCTGGTAACGAAATACTCGAGGGAAATCAGGACATGTTGAAAGAACGAGGTGAATTGATTTTTATTTATTTCCAAATTTTTTCTCTATTAGCATTCATTTATTAAAAATATTTTTTTTAACGTTTAGTAAAAAATACGAAAATATATTCTCGTTTTTTCAAAATAAAATTCAAACTATCAATTAAAAGAAATTTTTTTTTTTGAAAAGTGAAATATTCTTTTTAACATTTAATAATTCAGTTCTTTCTTTTGCAGATCCAGATTATGACTCTTCTAAAACGTCGAGTACGAAATGCAACTTTGCATTAATTACTCTAGTACTTTTGATGGTAATCTACAGTCATCATCATCCTCAACTGCAAGTACTTCATCCTGCCTGAAAGATGAAATAAATTTCTCATTTGAATATTAAAGGAAGCAAAATACGAAGTTTCTGTCCTTTAATATGTAATATACTGTGTGGAGATGTCGATAATTTCGTGCTAAAAGGACGATAAATTAATAATTCAAAATAACTCCCTTTAATTTATTCCCAATATAAAGCTTCGACTGAATCAAATGTAATGCGATTTCTATTTTTTTAAAAACCTGCGATAAAATTCAGGTTAATGTGAAGAATAATTTTTCTGCTTTTATTTTAAAAATAATTTAAATTGTGGTAATGAATGAATTTTAAAATTGGAATAATGTGAGTTATTAGGGTGTGAAAGATCTTAGATTAAGTTGTATTAAAGAAAATCAAGTGTCATCATTGTACATAGCTAAATATTGTGAAATGTCAAAAAAAAGAAACCAAACTGCCATCGTCCAACTAGTCATTTTTAAAATATTGAAAAGTTTTTTCAAATTTTGATGCATTTTTGGAAAAAGTAATTATAGGAATTTCTTATAAGGCGTGATATATTCATTTTATTTATTATTAAAATAATAAGAAATATTACAGAAAGCAGGTAGTTTTGCAGAATCTTTATGGCAAGCTTCAAATGTTCTACTCATAGGAAGCTTTCCGTGTAAGCTTGCTGCAATATTCCCTTGTAAGCTTGCAGCAAACTTGAAACTGAATCTTGCAAAACTTGCATGGTAAGCCTGACAAAAAATCGCTGCAAGATTACCTGCTATCTAAAATGTAATAATAAAAAAGTAATATAAAGAGTAATGAAATGATTAATATAAGATAGCTAATATAAAAATATTTAAACAAAATAGTGACAGAAAAGGATAATAATTTGTTTCTTTGTTTCCTTATCACCCACTATGGCTTTTGATGATAATTAATATTCTTTTCAAGAAAAAACTCTCTTTTCATTTTGAATACGGGACTAATTTCGTTTTAAAAAGTTATTTCCAAGTGAAAGCGATTAAAAAGAAAATAATGACCAAACATTTGTACTCTCAGTATTTCTTTCTCTAAAAATCATCTGAAAAAAAATTGTACACAAATAAAATATATATTTCAGTGAAATAGAAAGAATGTTTGTCAAAAAATAAAATGGTTTTGATTTGAAAACTTATTTTCTGCCGAATTATTGTATTGAAGGCAAAAAAGCAGACAATGTGAGTCAGTCACTCGAATAGCATGTCAAACGAGGAAAAGTGTCAAAAGTGAGGTCAGATTAAGGGGATTCTTGACGTGGCGATGCCTATGAAAGTATATATCTCCCCCTCAAAAATATATTTATTCACCAGATATTTCTTCTCTGTTCAAAATGTTGCCCCATACAATACAATGGGATTGCACCACCCCAACAGTGAAATGTCGTGAGTAACCTAGATGCATTGAATCAAATTTTATTTCCCTCCCTTTCCAAATACAACCGCGAAGAATTACATTTCACAATTTTTCTTATGCCATTTCAGGACCCCCCTTTAATTCGTTTTGTCAATTTCCTCTTTGTAATTCTTCATGCGTAACAAAAATCTCATTGTCGTCGAAGACATCCGTGAGACAATTGATAGACGCAAAAAAGCCTCGCTCCTCATTTATTATATACTTGTGTAAAAATTGCAAACAGAATGAAAAGAGAAATTAATTGAAAAGAGATTGAAAATTTTTTCAAAACATTTGATAAGAAATTGTATTGCTTCTTACATTTCAATAAGAAAAACGTATAAAGAAACTATTAAAAAAATGAAACGTTTGGTTTATAATTTAAGGAAAAAATTCTGCAAATGTGAAAAATTGTATGAACATTGTTTTTTAAATAGAGAAAAAAGAAGATTATTTACAAAGTAGATTTGAAAATAAAGTAACAACAAGTTTTCTCTTTAAATTTTTGGTAAATATTGTGAATTTATTTTTAGATAAACGAATCAAAAATAGATTTTTAAAAATTGGGGAAAATTGGGGAAAATCTTGTTGTTTGTATATTTACAATATTACGTAACTTGATTTCACTTCGATATCAAATTCAAAACATTTCCAGGTCGAATATTTTCTCTTTGATGTGAAATATTGTTCTTTGACGTTTTATTTAAAATTTCGATTATTAACTAAATTCTCATTGAATTGTAATGAACTGTTCAATGCATTAAACACATTTAAATAATTCTTTATTTATTCCATACGAATTTTCGTCTATCCATATTGTTCTCGATTTTGAAATTCTCAATTATAATACATAGTTTATTTTATCTTTATTGTTTTCAACGTTTTTTTTTAATTTTTCAATATTATTTCTTTAAGTTTCTTAATTTTAATATTTGAATTTTATTATTTAACTTTTTTTAATATTCTTTCTATTATTTAATTAAATTTCATTTGCTAATTATGATGAATTATTGAAACAAATATTTGAAATTCTGACGCGGAATTGAAATCAAATTATTCGTAATCGTTCTTTTTGCTTTAATAAATTTTTTAACAAGTCAAATAGAAACAATAATTATATAAATTATTAATGTTTGCTTGTTTATATAATTGTTCACAATTACAGGTAATTTTTAAAAGACAGTGAAAAATTAATTGCTATTAAATTTTAATACAAAAGTTAAAAATAAATATTTTAACTGATGTATTCCACGTCAGTTCAACACAAAAAACTTTATTAGGTTTTGGGATTCGGTTGAAATTGGGTAGATTATATCCTCTGGTTGTAATAAATAAAATCCCCAAGCGATTTTAAAAAATTTCAAAAATTGGCGGACATATTGGATTTTTAATTTTTTTGTACTTTTTTTTGAAAAATATATATCTCTGCTTCTTCTTAACAGATTTAAGTTTATGACCTCTTAAATTGTTCGTATTGAAATATACTTTTATTTAAAAAATTAAAATTAAAAAAATTATTTAAATTTTTTGTTTAAAAAATTAATTTAATTTTTTGAAAAGCCATAGAAAAAATATGCTACCTTCAATTTTGATCATTTTTTTACCATTTATAGCCATAAATCTGTTGAACTTGTCCTGAAATTTTCATCGTGGGACAGCCAGTAGTTTTTGAGAAAAAAAATAAAACGTAAATCCTCGCATAGCGCTGTAGCGGTCAGTTTTAATGCCGCACGATTGTAAATGGAATTTTAATAAAAGTACGAGTTTATATTAACCCTAGAACTAAAATATGATTTTTTTATAGACTAACGAAAAACTGGGGTGGTTTGGTACCCCAGATTTGAAACAATTGTAAAAGGTTACCTTTTTTGTAATTTTTTTAATTTGTCAACAATGTGGCTAATTTGAAAAAATTAAACGGATTTTAAAAGGTAAATAAAGAAAAACTGTAAGACTTTGGAAACTCCCCCGTAAAAAATAGAAACCTTCTTTGTATTAAATGATTTTTATTCTATTTTAAAATCATTTAACATTTGTATATATTGTAAATAATATTTAAATTTTCAAGTTGCCTTAATCAAAATGAAATTGTCTCTATTTACCTTTTAAAATCCGTTTAATTTTTTCAAATTGGCCACATTGTTGACAAATTAAAAAAATTATAAAAAAGGTAACCTTTTACAATTGTTTCAAATCTGGGGTACCAGACCACCCCAGTTTTTCGTTAGTCTATAAAAATATCATATTTTAGTTCTAGGGTTAATAAAAACTCGTACTTTCATTAAAATTCCATTTACAATCGTGCGGCATTAAAACTGACCGCTACAGCGCTATGCGAGGATTTACGTTTTATTTTTTTTCTCAAAAACTACTGGCTGTCCCACGATGAAAATTTCAGGACAAGTTCAACAGATTTATGGCTATAAATGGTAAAAAAATGATCAAAATTGAAGGTAGCATATTTTTTCTATGCCTTTTCAAAAAATTAAATTAATTTTTTAAACAAAAAATTTAAATAATTTTTTTAATTTTAATTTTTTAAATAAAAGTATATTTCAATACGAACAATTTAAGAGGTCATAAACTTAAATCCGTTAAGAAAAAGCAGAGATATACATTTTTCAAAAAAAAGTACAAAAAAATTAAAAATTCAATATGTCTGCCAATTTTTGAAATTTTTTAAAATCGCTTGGGGATTTGATTTATTACCACCAGAGGATATAATCTACCCAATTTCACCCGAATCCCAAAACCTAATAAAATTTTTTGTGTTGAACTGACGTGGAATACACCTACTATTAAAAATATTCAGTTCACAAATTGTCACTAATTGTTTTAAAATTAGACAAATAATTATATTTCATTTAATTAAAAATGTCAATCTATACATTCCAATATTGGAGAAAAAATTGTAAATATAAAACAATCGCACAGAGCGTGATATAATATATATATATATATATAATCTAATTTATAAACAGGGAAATTAATTTTTAACTTAAGTGAAATATAATATTATATTTTTATTTATTTATTTTAAATCTAAATGTTTGCATTGAAAAAGCTGAACATTTTATTTAAACAAGAAAATAGATTTTTACAATTATAGAATATTTTTCAAATTATAAATTTCCCAAGTGGTTCATCGATGAAATGTATGTTCGTTTAATATAAAAATTTCCTATCTCAATTTCTCCTGGTTATATGAAAAACAAAAAACTAATTTTCTTTATTACTGAAAAACTAATTATAAATAATTAATAACAGAAATTTCCCTTTGATGAAATTAATTACAAAATATTCATTCAACATTTATTTTTATACATATTTTTACAATAATTTATTAATTACTTATTAATATTAATTAATTAATAAAATTTTAAAAAATCAATATTTACTTAAATCGTATAATTATTTTATAAAAAAACTTCTTTGAATTCAAATAATATTACAGTCAAATATTTAAATTAAATATATTAAAATCTTTTAAAGGGAAAAATTAAACGCTAAAAAATGTTGTAATGCAAACGAATTTAAAAAGAATTACAATTTTTTTATTTTTTCTGCTTTTTAGTTTGGGTCACGAAAAACACTAGATGTTTTCTTCTGTCAATAAAATAAGAAAATCAATTATTTTCTAATTATAAATTTTATGATACTGCGTTTATTGTAAAATATAATGTAAATATAGAAGTAAGAAATATTTAGTTTAAATACATTGAATTATTTTCCGAAACTAATAGTTATCAATTTGAACAAAAATTTGTGTTATTGAGAAAAGTTTGTAAAATTCACGGTAAAATAACCAATTGTTAAATGCAAATAATATGTAAAATTATAAAAAATGAAATGTTGCAAGTAAAATTAAAACATCATGACAAGCTATCTAAGTATAAAAAAAATTCGAATAACATATTTTATAATAATATAAAAAATTTCTTATTACCATTTGAAAAAAATTTTTTAACACTTGAAAATTACAGATTTGATGTTTTAGTTTTATACAAAAATGTTTTTAATTTATATAAAGAATACACATTTATTAAATAAAAAAGAATTTTAACAGTAGTATAAATTTACAATTGTAATAGCTCAGTGTAATATAAATAGAACGTAAGCTTTAAAAATGATTTGTAAGTAGAGAGGTTAAAATATTCTTTTTCTGAAGTAAATAATTAGATAGAAATTTTTATTATTATTTAAACGTTTCAACAATATCCATTGTCTTTATTAACCATAAAAAGTAGAATAGCTGTGACAAATTATTCACATTACTTTTTTCTGTATTAATTGGGACTTAAAATTTTAGCAAATTATCAGAAATAAATATTTAATTTGAATCATATAATGATTGCAATGGAAAAATATTCTATTTGATACTTAAAGAATTACTTCTCTACTTACAGATGTCTTGGTCAAACGACAAATTCATTTGTATACTAAAATTAATTTGTTAAAAGCAATTTATATTGAAGAACAATTTCTTTAGTTAATAAATATTTATTATTTAACTATAACAAAGTCATTTCTCCTTTATTTTTCGATTTTGTAACCATATGTGCGTATATAGAGTAAATTAAATTAAACCAACATTAAGTAATATCTATTACTTATAGATAACAAATAAAGTCATAAAATAAATAAAAAAACTAAAAATAATATTAATAAATAATATTGTGATTTGGAGGAGAAGTGCAGTGACTGATCAGACAATAATAAAACCATCTAAAGAAATACATATTATATATTTATATACATTACTATCATAAATTGTCTGTACAATCGACGTTCATGCAGTGAAAAATTTCTACTGACTTTGAAAAGAGATATTTTATAATGTATAGAAAAAGATAGAAACTTTAAACTTAGATTATTTGAAAGCTAAAATTAATCTGTTTCTAATGGTATATTAATATTTTTTTTCCTTTTCAAAGAGATTATATCATCTGAAATGTTTTGGAAAACATCTCTGAAATTTTACAATTTTCGATTAGTTTGTTTGACTTTTCGCCAAATCTAGAATAATTTTACAAAAAATTCGAGATTTTAACATGATAATTTTTAATTTCTTATCTTTACGAAACGCTTTTGAAATTTAAAAAATATTACACAGTTTTTTAAATACCTTAAAAAATGTCAGAGCATGTATTTTTGAAAATCTGCCGCCGTTCAGTGCAATTCACTTTTTTATGAAAGAAGATTTTGACTTTATCAGCCAATAGTGACATCTACCAGCTGTTAATTAAACTCATAATTGTAAATTCTCGAAATATTACTTCATATCATTTTCTATCAATATTTTTAAATATATTATATTTCAATATATTTTACTCTTATCGTTTATATTGGATCTGCCATTTTGAATCTTTAAAATCTCTTTTCATATTATTGTAATTATCGACCTTAAAACCCCCC